AGATGCAGGCAAAACGTCAGGAGAGAATGCCTCTAGAACATGGCCATATAGCCCGAAAAAACCTACAACAATAGTATCAGTGTAAGGTTTCATCTTGTTTAATAGGACTGAATTATAAACTACTCCTCAAGTTTACATATAGACTTTAAAGTGTGCTGCATTAGAGAAGTTACTCTTTTAAGTGTTGGTTTAATAATGCTTGGCTGCTACTTTTTAAAAAGCAAATTGATACCAGAATGACCAGAACTTTTATCTGATGCCATTCAGCAGCATTATATAGGATAGCATTCATGTTTATCTAAGTGGCATTCTGTTGGGCTTTCTTTATATAAGAAAGAAATCATATTTAAATAGCTTACATTGTATTTGAATAATTTACTATGATCAACAGATCAGACAAGGAATGTAATAGCTTTCATTTAATTTACTTCATAGGACTCAAATCAATTTCACTGTGGCTATTGATTTCACAGCTTCAAATGGTAAGTTTTGTAAATTTAGTAATTGACCTCTATAGCTTTCTAAGCTTTTCATTATGTAAACTATATTGTTGTTGTTTGTTTAACATACGTTTAGCATATCCCAAGAACTTAACTGTTGTTAACATCTTAGAGCCAATGTTTTCCTGTGTAGACAGAAAGATACTAAAGCTGATGAGGGTAGCTATTGTTGATTGCCTGCCATCATGCTTCATCCTATCTCATCCCATATTGTTTCATTTAATCCCTTAGAAACATATTTTCTGGAGTTCTCAAATATTCCAGCAATCTGAAATTCATTGGTTAAAATATTCACCTCAATCCAAAAAAAAGTATTATTATTTACCCACATTTTTAACTAGCACAGTAGGGATCTATGAACTTCAGATTTTTTATTTCAGCTGTGGATTGTAATGTCAATATATATAGAGAGAGAGATCATTTTTAACTAGTACAGTATGTACCAAAATTTGAAAAAAAAATTGTTCTTGATTTTGAAAGTGTTATTTCCTGTTTCATTGTGCAGCACTTACTTTGAAAGTAGTTGTTGTACTCCAGATACTTGGTTTTTGTGGCTGCCACAAACTATACTGAATTGGTTGAAACTCTGTGAGATATTCATTGAAAAGCTATAGCAAAATGTGCTGCAGGATGTCCCACAAAAACAAAGTTTTTGCTGCTTGATGAACTTTTCCCATGTTTTTATGATAGAACCAATCAGGAAATGACATTTATAGCCCAGGAACAAAATCATGTTACATAGTGTTATAGGAAATGAAACGAGTCTAATCCTATATGTCTGTAACTCTACAAATGACAACTTCTGAACTCAAGTGTTTTTTTCCTCCCTGATTGAACAATCAAGAGCAGTAGTTCAGAATCTTTCCCTTCCACTTTTGATTATAGAGACAGTTGCTGTTTGTTCAAAACTCAAACGGATGTCCTTCACAAACTATTATTTGAAGTGAATTTGTTTGAAACCAGTTACAGTTGAGATAAATCAGCTTGCTGGGTTGAGACAATGAAGCAATTGTGATTGATGAAAAGCTGAAACAAAAAATGTTCCTCCAAAGAAAGAGCAGTGAGAACATGTAGGCCAAACAGCAAGGCTGAACTTGTTTACATCTTCCGCAACCTAATTTACCAGAACGTCCAAGGAAACATGATGTTTCTCTTCTCAACAGGACATCTAGATTTAAAACAAAACTCCACAACACTATTCCTTATTTCAAATAGAGTGCCCTTTTGAATATCTATAACATTTGATAATGCAGTTTTTAACTGATATACTTCAAAAGTATCACATGAGATCTGTCCAAAGTTTTGGACTTTCCAGAAGTATTCAGGATTTTGGCACACTATACATTTAAATAATATGCCAGTTTAGCAGTATTCAGATTCATAATAAAACTGAATCTGAATTGTAATAATCCCATTATAATTATTGTGACAAATACATAAATAAACTTCACAGTGAAACCTGAGCTAGTATGTAAACCTACTTATGTTAATGCCTATTGAAAGTCCCATCTAGATAAAGACCACTCAATCCGCTTTGTTTCAACAGGGAACCCTGCACATTCAACCTCACTTCATTATATGAACCCATACCAGCTGAATGCCTATGGCATGGCATTAAGGGCAGTAGGAGAGATCATTCAGGACTATGACAGTGACAAAATGTTTCCAGCTCTAGGGTTTGGTGCAAAACTGCCTCCAGATGGAAGAGTATCTCATGAATTTGCCTTGGTAAGATTTCATTATAATAATCTTTTCCCACTTAATTTTATTTGCTTGTATTCCAAAATGTTCTCATATACTTTTTTGGATCAGTGTATGTTTAAAGACATTCATTTAAG